GAAAGAACACTTTGCTACAGACAGGCCCATCAGTCAGATGTGTCCCCTGGCTCCTGGTAAGGGCTTACATTTCACAGACACCATTCAAAGTTCATGCGCCCCTACTCTTTACTAGTCAGCCACATTGAAGCATAACTGCAGCTCAGCAGGGGTTGCTGACCAGCTACACTTTCCCAGAAGACTCACATTGTGTGGGGTGGTCTTGCTGTGGGCTGTTAAACAGCTGCCTCATTTTACTCCTGAGTTGGCTGCATTACAGTGGTCAGTGATGTGACCCACATATACATGTTCCATTGCCTTGCAGATGAATTAGGCTGCAGAAATGTTAGCTGTTAGTTACTCGTGTTCATGGCCATTTGTTGTTGAAGAAGAAGAGCAGGCCCTAAGAGGATGTGAATGGGAGATGTGTGCTTCCCTGGGTGACCTGTCACTTATCAGGGACCTATCCCAACCACTGCAGGGGCACGTGTCCAGAGGTACTGGCACAGAAGGAAGTCACTGTATTATGGTGGCATTGGAATATGAGTGGAAGCAAGGGATGGGAAGAGTCATGGGCTGTCTGGGAGGAGAAATAAACCCCAGGTACAGCAATAATGTAGTGTACACACACACACCTCAGAAGTGCACACATACACAGCATTCCACAAACAGAGCAGACAAAAAGCACAGGCTCAGTACACAAAGTGTCATCACCTGAAGCCCATCCCCAAGCAGGTGTGCAGCACATACACATAATCACACCAACAGGTAACAGTACAAACTGTACAACACAAAACTCACACACACATCCCAGAGAAAGTACTCACAGTTCCTACACATCATCCTTTCTCACATACACCATACACATACATGACAGCAAATCACTCACACACATGAAAACGCAGACCCTAAAAAACTTACTCAGAAGTTGCCATGTCCCTTTTGTCCCTATGAAAAAGAGAAAAGGCAGGAGGAAACAATCAGTGGAAGGCGACACTGCCAACCCCTGATCTTCCACCTGGAAGCAGCTAAAGCAGTCGTGCTGCTAGAATCCAGCTAACATCAAGCACAGCTTCCAAAAGCTCCTTCAGCATGTGGTTGCACACACCTTGGCCAAGCCCAACCACAGCAAGGAAATCTGTGCTTCTGACCTTGATTGGATGGATTCAAACCTGCTTTGCTGTGCATCATAGGCCCCACACTGCTCCTAGTTAGGGGTGATTTTCCTACCACATGAATGCCCAGAGGGCTCTGCTTTGGAAGCCAAAGGAGCTGCACTCTCTCCCTGTCCCAGTGACAGATCCCATGGAAAAATGTGATCAATTTCCCAGGGTCAGCAGTGCAGAGGGACCTGAATAAAGTCCAGGTACAAGAAAAGCCTAAAGGCCATTGCATATTTCTGGCTCGGTTCATAAAGACCCACCTGCCTGGAAAAGCAAGCCAGGTGAGGTCTCATCAGAGACCTCCACACCTTCCTCCCCCTCCCAGCTCCTACTTCCCTTCCCCTTGCCTGGTTCCAGCAGCCTGAGACAGTGCCTGACTTACAGGCCCTCCCTTCGGCAGCACATGATGTAGGTCAGGAAAAGGCAGAGCAGAAGGGCCACCAGCAAGGGCAGGAGGATGGTCAGCAGGTAGTCATACAGAAAAGTCTTCTCAGGGGCATCTGTGGGGGGTTCAAATTCACTGCCGTCCTCCAGAACCCCATCTCCCGAAATAAGCACCGGCCCTGTGGTGCTGGGGCTGGAGAGATCCATCTGGAAAATGAGAGGCTGTCAGGATACCTGGAGGGCTTTTAGGGAGAGGCTGTCTCTATAGCCACCCTCTAAGGGGAGATCAGACAGAGCATCATTTGCCATCATGGCAGGAGCCAATTCAAAGATGCCAGGACATTGTGCCAGTCACTGCACAGACCTCTGTCCCAAACCCCACCACAAGCCTGGTTAGATCTTAGTGGTGCTTGGAGGATGAGGGTGTGGGAGGGGACAACCCCAAAAGAACAATTCTTCTGTGCTGCTTTTCTTCTACAAATCTCAAAGCACTTCGCAAGGAAGGTCAGTGCCCATTTTACAAGTGGGGAAACTGAGGCAGGGGTCACCTAAAAGGCTAGTAGCAGAGCTGGGAAAAGAACCCAGGTGTCCCAAGCCTTAGTCCAACACATGAGTAGCTTGGAGGCATCAAAGCTTCTTGCAGGTATAGAAGGAGCCCAGCTTAATCTGAACAGCAGGCAGCATCTGGAGTGACTCCAGTCTGAGCCCATCTCTTGTGCTGAGAAGGGGCTTGGAGGAGGGTGAAATGCAGAGCCTTGCAGGAGCAGACAGGGCTGAAGGCAGCAGGAGAAGAAAGCAGAGCAAAGTGCTATGGCAGGAACTCTTGATGGTAGAAAAAAAAGGGCAGGCTTGGGGTTAGGGCACTAGGCTGGAACTCAGGAGATCAGGAGGTTAGCCCCAACTCTGCCACACACCCCTTGTGTAACCTCACCTTCCTGTGCCTGGAGTTCCCAGCTGCAGGCCCAGGAGAAGGACAAGTCCTTGGGGCAGGGACTGTCTCACTCTATGAGTGTAGCACCTGGCATAACAGGGCCCTGATCTGATCTGGTACTGTCATAATACAAAGAATGAACAGCAGTAGGATCCACTGGAGTCCCATAGTGGATATGAGCCTGCCCGGAGGGTGTGAAGCATCCTAGTGAATTCCAGAGGAGTGAGAACACTTACCATCAGCTGGATCCTGAGCTTCCAGCCAGGAGAAACTTTCCCAATGAGTACTACAGGATTCTCCCCTAGGGATCCCCAATCATTCCCACTGCCCAGGCACTGGAAAACTACTGGCATGCCCCATGCAAGGGTCCACAGACTGGACAAAACTGGCTGTTTGAGCAACATGCCTCAGGGATGCCCCAGGGGATGGGTGTTACTTGACAAGCCTACACAGACCTTCTCCACAGGAGCCTGACTCCCCCTGCTGGTGAGAAAAAGCACTGCAAGGGTTCCAAGGGTTGGGTTTCCAGGCAAAAGATACATGAAAAAGGTTGTTATGCCTGAAATTGTTCCTCTGTTTCCAGGACAAATTGCTGTTGCTTAAAGCACCGCTCTGCCTAGCATCTCACTACAGTTTACTGAGACCTGGCACTCTTGTTGTTTTTATTACTACTACCGTTACAACAGCACGCAATGGTCCCAGCTGAGATCAGAGCCCTGCTATGTTGGATGAACTGCAGATATATTTAGATCCAAGTCCACTGTGCACAGAAATCAGGTTGGTTTAACTACAAGGATAATGTACACCAGCTGCATTAAACCAGGTGTGGTGCTATACACATACAGGTCTGGACACATGACAGATTTACTCTGGAGTATTCTCAGTTTACCCTGAAGGAAAAGTGGAGTTGGTGTAAACTGCACAGTGTTTACTGCTGAGGCAAAGCTGTTCTCCAGTGCAAAATTAATTCTGAGGAAATCAGAAGTATGTGTGCACTAGAGAAAACTACATCAGGCTTCATACTGGGTGGGCACATCTACATGAGATATTTTCTGTAGTTATCTAATTAGCTCTGCAGTAAACATTAGGGCTGTGTGAAATTTCGCCAAGTGTTTCCTTTCAAAGCTGTTTTGATGCATTTCGAGCTCGAAACTGCAAAATCAAAACAAAACAAAAAGCTTTGAAACAGCTTTGAAATGAAATGATGGCCCTCAAAACGTTTCAAAGGTTTCGAAGCAGCCCGGTGGCAGGAGGCAGGTGAGAGCCAGGGCTTCACTCTGAGCAGCTCTATAGCCCCATGGAGCTCAGCCCGGTGGCGAGAGGTGGAGAGCAGCTGCTTTAACTAAAACTCATCTCTACCACCATTTTGAAATGCGGAGACACTGAATACATGTGATGCAGAGGCTTCTGGAGCACGCTAATTAGCACACTCCAGCAGACTCGCAGCAGACTTGATTAATCGTCTTCTCCATCATGTGTATAGGTGCCCTCACTGTCTACATATGCAACCCTATTAGTCCACAGGAAGCTAATAAACTCTACAGCAGGGTGGCACTTGCAAATACAAGTACCACCCTGCTGTGGAGTTTTTTTGTGAGCAGCAACATACATGTAGATGCTGATGGGGCTGGCTGGGGCACAAGGGTACTTCAGTGAGGGCTGCCTGCCAGCTAGGCCTGCATCCTTGTGCCCCAGCCATCCCCTCCACAGTACATTGAGCCAGGTTGGAGCAGCACAGGGCTGGCAGGCTTACCCCCTTGGCTCCCTGCCAGCCGGGGCTGCTCCAACCCAGCTCAATGTGCTGTGGTCCCGGGCACATGTTCAAACGGCATGCCCAGGAACAATAAACTCTAGCGTGATATGCACCAGAGTTTATATCTTCATATTGATTGTATGTGTAAACCTGTCTGCTGCTCTTGTCCCGCTTACTCAAGAGTAGCCCTCTACATATTGCAAACTAGTTCCCTCACCACCTATTGGCCTGGCCCAGGAATGGCACCTACTTCAGGCAGACAGCTTAGAAAAGCTAGCTACACACCTGCTGCTTGTCACAGAGTAAATTCACCACAGAGTAAAACCCATGGGGCGCGTCTACACGAGACACTTTACTGCACTGCAAACTAATTTGCTGTGCAGTAAAGCATCACCATCTACACATACACAGCAATTAGGGTGCAGTAGACTAATTTACTGAGCTGCCAGATAGTCCCATCAGATACAAGTGGTATCCAGCAGTACAGCAAATTACTGTGCTTAAATGCATGTGTAGACAGTAATGTTGGGATGTTTAGTCTGGCTCAAATTGAACCGGAGTATATTCAGTTGCATTAATTGCACGTGTAGACATGCCCACAGTATATTACTTTATGGCAGGGGTTTTCAACCTTTTTGGATCATTGTACCCTCAGTGGCTGGACGCAGAGCCGAAAGAGGTGGTGTGCGGCCAAACACGGAGTGGTGGTAGCCACTGCATGTGAGCTTCCCCTGCCCCCTGCATCCGGCCAGAAGGGCAGTGCCTAGTGCCTGCGTGGCAGCGTCTAGTGCCTGCATGGCAGCGTGGGATGGTGCATGGCAGCGCTCCATCCCCACCTGCCCACGTGTACCCCCTAGGGCCTTCTCAAGTGCCCCCTGCTTTATAGGAACCCCTGCTTTATATCAATCATGCTGTGTGTCTGCACTCAGAGTCATACTAGAAGCCAGTTTGTACCCCACAGCCCTTGCAGTCTAAACAGACTGAGGTGGAAGGGGAAAGAGATTTCTGGTTTACAAGTGGGACTTGCCTGAGGCTGAGATCACTCAATAGGTTGGTTTCAGAGCTAGGAAAAGACCCCACCTTTCCTGTTCTCACTCCAGTCCCTTGTTCTCTATTAGCCATGCTACATGCTAAGGTTCCCTTCTCTGTGACACAGATACTGAATAGATGGTATCTCCCTTGGTATGAAGGTGAGACCAAAGCTACAGGGAAGCATCTAGCTCTACAGGGCTCCAGCTGACTTCACAGAAGCCAGTTTTCCAGGCAGAGTAGGGAGAGCTGCATGGGAGACTCCACAGTGTAACCCAGACATGGCCCAAGCTACTCACCAAGGTGATATTGCACCAGTCGATTATGAATACAGGATAGAATCTGTCATGACATGCAAGAACTGGCTGCTGCTCCATGTTGCACCGGGCCTCATTATCAAGAGACTTGGTGGCCACCAGGCAGTCGGAGAAAGGGTATATGGATCCTACCTTTATGTACACCCTAGGAAAAAGAGCACAGGGGGAGGGGGAAGGTGGCATGAGTGAGAAGCAGGTGATAACAGCTCAGGAAAATCCCCGTGAGGGAAGCTGACGGGATGCCTAGGAACCCTCTGGTCATGAGAATGATCCAGGACCCTTCTGGTCATGAGGGAAGAGAGTATCCAGGAGGTCCCTGGTCATGGTCTGGCAATGCACTGGCACTGGATATGCCTAGAATCTCTCTGACTAGGGGAAACAGCCCAGGAATCCTCTGCCCATTGATGCTGAGCCTCTGGATTAGGAGCACTCATGGGCACAGGGGACCTCTGAGGAGGAAAGCCATTTGGAAACTAATGCCCTGTGGTGGCTGATATTCTAGGGGACAAGTCCCACTCCATACCCTTCCTTTCTGCCTTCGATAGGCAGGGGCACACGACCTCCCCGGTCCAAGGCTGACGTGATGTTGATGATGTGCAAGTCGTCCTGATCCCAGATGCTGTCCACACCCTGCTGGAACAGCTGCTGTGCCTCCACCGGTAACACTTCCTCCACATCTCGGTTCTTCACAAAGAACTCTGCCTGGTACGGCAGCTGCTCGTCTACAGTGGGGGAAGAGAGAGGTTCCACTGTGACGAGGTTTGGGGCTAGGCTCAAAGACAGCAGGTTGGATCAGGGATCCAACAGAAATCAGACATCTGGGGCATTGTGGGGATGGGCTCAGAACTTATAAAAGTCTAGGCACCTTATAGTCCACCACCTTCAGAGTTGTGAGGATGACTGGGTGTCTATAGGAAAGCTCAAACTCCAGGGGCCCCTGGGCTCTCCAAAATGGAAGGAGGAAGGTCTGTGTCACCCTATTGGCATTTTGGTGCATGATGGGTAGGCTCCCTTAGGCCAGGGGAGCTGATAAGTTGGTCAGCCCTGGGAAAATGGAGGGCATTGCTAGGAAAACTATTTGGGTGGTAAAACTAGGAGAGTTGGTAGGGTTTACCTGGGGAGGAGCCAATGTTGAAGATGATCCTTTGTTTCACAGTCTCATATGTATGTCTGTTATATGCTTTCACCTGCCGCAGAGAGAAAAAGAAAGCAAAGTTCCTCACTCAGAATAAAATAGCCACTTCCCAAACTAGGTCCTCCTAGGTCTTCTCTTTCTCCCTGTGCCAGGGGGGCTGCCTCAGATGGCAGAGGCCAGAGCTGTAGGCCAGGAGGCAGAGGAATATAAGCCTCTTCTTCTTGAGGAGGGAGATGGCCTTCTACCTCCTCAAATCCCCTGGCAGCAGCTCCAAGAGGTCTGCTTCAGGGGGGGATGCCCTTGGGCTAGAAGCAAAGGGAGTCCCCAGCTGAGGTCTGCTCCATTCAGCATAGAAATCATGTTTACTGTTCTGAATTCAGTCAAGATTACCAGTGTTTCAGGGGTGTACTTGGTAGCCGTGTTCGTCTAAGACAAAAAGACATGATTCCCGAAAGCTTGCAGAAAAGGACAATTTTCTTGCCATTTTCCAGTTGGTCTAATAAAAGGTATCATTTTGGAACCAAGAGTTCTAGTTTTTTGTGGTGTCAAGATTACCAAGAGTTTATAGCTCCCTCTGGCTATGCTGACACAAGCAGGCACACTTCTACCTCCCCATCTGCACCCTTCATGAACGGCACAATCCCATCAAAACACCTGTATGGACACTCCCACAAAGCAACACAATCACATGAAGACACCTATAAACACCTCCTTCAAACAACACCCCCCCGTAAAGCAGCACCCCATCACACAAAAGCAGGCACGGACACTTCCTCAAAGCAAAATACAGTCACACACAGACACATGATAACCAAGCACTCCTTCAAAACAACACACAATCACAGAAATATATTTATATACACCTCCTATAAACAACAGACACTCTGAAAAAAACTCCCACAGTTATTCAAAGGCACATAGAGCCACCTCCTATAAACACACATACACATACATCTGCCCCCAACAGCACACAAGAGCTCCCTGACTGTAAGGAATAGCATCCACTCGGTACCTCAATGGTCTGCCTGCCAGCTTTCTTTTCCTTTGCTGTGGGTGACCCATAGAGGAAGGCGGTTTCATACGGCCCACGCTGGATGTAACGCAGCCACCTGGGCAGGTCCGGGTATCCCAACAGACGGGCATGGAAGGTGATGGGGACATCAGGTGGGATTTCTGAAAAAATACACATACATGTGTCACGTGTGTACACACACACACACACACACACACACACCACACACACACACACACAATTTTAGGGTTTTTAGAACTCTTCCCCTGCAGAATCCCATACAATTTACCTAATTTAGGATTTTACCTTTCTGCCCATCCCCACAGTATCAGGACATCTTCCAAGCAAATCAGTCCCTATAGCAAAGACCTTATCAATTTTTGCAGAAAGAGAGGAGCAGGGCCTTTGGCAAAGCTCAAAAAAAATTTTTAAATCATTTCAGTTTGGACAAAATGCTGCTTCTTCAGGGTTGTTTTAATAAAATTCAGGGGCAAGATTGACAAGAGTACTTTACTACCATTCACAGACCAGCAGAGGGGAGAAAGAGGTGAGGGTACATGGTGTGTATGGACCCAAAATAGCATTTGAGGAAAGTCAGCCAGAACCACAGGCAACAGAAGGGAGGGGGGAGGCTAACAGGCCTTAGCCCCCCAAAACGTGGGGCAGTAGGGTTGCAAGGCAGCCTGGCCAAAGGCTTCTGGCAGTTGCAACAGGGGTGTGGAGGGAGTGGGGCTGGGGCTAAGGGAGGGGCAGGCGCTGTACAGCCAGCGAGGTGTGGGATTGAGCCGTGAGTGGCACATCCAGGGGGTATAGCTCCTGCTGCTACGCACACCCTGGATCTGTGGGGTGCAGGGCAGGCTGCCACTGCCACCTAGGGTGGGTGGTGGTGGCAGTGGGAGGGGACTATAAGGGGGGGCTTCAGCCACCCGAAAATTCACCATAGCCCGCCCAACCCCCTTCCCAGCACCGCCACTGCCCACCCTGAGTGCAGCCCAGCCCCCTCCACTTGGAACAGCCCGGTGCCAGCCCCAGCCCACAGCAGCATCCTGCCCTGCCCCGTGCAGATCTGCGGGTACACACTCCCCCATGCACTCCCAGGATGTGTGCAGCAGCAGGAGCTGGGCATAGAGGTCCCAGGGGCATGGGACCTCCAGCACCGGGCCCCCCTGGATGGTACATGGCCAGGGCCATTGCAAGGAGGCAGACAGGGCCGGTGTGGGACTCAGGGGTGGTGGATTAGTTAGTGTGGGGGGCGTCAACGCCAGCCAATGACCCTGGGTGCAGGGGAAGGGGCAGCCACCTGGGCACAGCGGGCCGTGGCCCTACCCCAATCCTGGGTCCGACTCAGCTCCCTCCCAATCCCTGCCTGGTCCCAGCCCCAGCCCTACTCCCTCCCCCCATGGCCCATTCCTCTCCCCTGCTCCTTTCCCTGCAGAATTTCCTGCCGGGGGGGGCACATGTGCTTGTGCACTCAGTCCCTCTGAAAAAATTTTTCTCCCTCTGCTAGAACCATATCCAATGTGTTTTCCGTCATTTTGTATTTGTCTAAAACTCATCTGCAGAATTGGCCATTTTGAGGTCAAGTCAGTCAGTGCTTTCCAGCAAAGCAACTGCTCACTATGGAGAGAGGAGGCTGGCTGAGCAGGTGCAGTCTCAACACCCCTGTTCTGTGCCAGTCCAACAGCAGCAGCACTTTTTCCCAGAAAGCATTGGTGTCAGAGACCAGGGTAGCTCCTTACATGGAGCTGGTATGATAGAGCTCCCACAGGGATCTGATTGATCTCCTTCTTTCCCTTTGCTAGTCCTGTGAGCTCTTCAGGGCAGAGATTGTCTATTCGTGAATGCCTAGATGTGGTCTCATACACAGCAAAAGCAACCATCAATTTACTGTCATTATTTTTTATATAACATCATGACATACGATAAATTACTACAGATTACAGTAATGGGCTGGATAAGTGGTGCTAGGTTGGCATGCACGGTTGGCTCAGTTGGGGCCTGATACAGCCACATGTGAATGACCTGGCCAGAGCCCAGTCCAGCTAAGCATAGCAGATACAGCCAAGGCCTGATTCCTCTGCGTGCTATTGGACCAGCCAGGACTCAGTCCAGGCACATGGGGAAGGTTTGACCGGGGCCCAATCCCTCTGCATGGGGCCAGCACAGGCAGGGCCCAGTCCTTCTGTGTGCAGCTTAGAAATTTTGGCAGCTGGGGAGAGGTGGCATCTTTCATTGCCAACACTCCCCCATCAACAAGTTTCCAGACCTGTGGGGAACCTCACAGGCCAAAAAACGCAACTATATGGGATGGATCTGGCCTATGGCTGGGGGTTGAGCACCCTGAATTATATAATATAAAATATTGAGCACCCTGAATTATATAATATAAAATATAAGGCAAGCAAACCAACAGATAGACAACAGAGAAGGTGTATGGGGATAGACAGACAGGCAGTGTATGGGGATTGATAGATTAATGTACAGATAGATTGTAAATGGGGATGGATGGGTGGATGGTGATTAGCACATTGGCCAGTGGGCCAGGAGTGGTGGCTGACACACTGTAGACAACATTTCTGGTGGAGGCTCCTACTCCTGAACCACTTATTGAGCTGGCCTCCAAGCAACATCGACCCTGCCATCTGCATGGGGCTGAGCTGGGCTCTATGGCATGACCCTCCTTTGTCATCACTCACCCTCGACGTTATTGTGGACTGAGGGAAATGCATCCTGGAAGAGCTCCCGCTCCAGCTCGTGCACAAAGATCTCTCCAGTCACCGGATAGACATTGCGATCAGGGAGAGCAGCCAGGAGCCCACCAAGAAAAACCACTGTGGGGAGGGACTGGGGTTAGAGCCACAGGCCTGGGGAGGGGGAGCAAAAGCAGCCTGAGTCGAACAGCCAGGTCCAGGAAGAGAAGGGGTGGAAAATAGGAAAAACCAGGAAGGTTTGTGAAGAGGCAGTATAGGGGGATGGGACTGGGGCTGGGGGCTCTTGCTCCTGCCTCCAGTATGGGGGCATGGCATCTGTCTAGGCCTCCATTTCCCCACATTCTTTGCTTTTCTCTTATAAGCACTAAGAAACATAGGGGTGAAAAGCCCACTGTTGGGGCTAAGCCAGAGGACATGCTCTTCCTCTGGCACCAAGCTAATTATTGCATCCAGAATGGGCTCGTGCACAACACACATCCTCTGCGCATGCTGTGGGCCCTCGGCCAGAGTCCTGCCAGCTTGAGGAGAGATACCTGCCACCTCGTCCTGAATTCTGCTAGCCGGGGCCCTCCTTGTATAGGACCCCCTCCCACCACCTCCCAACCCCAGAGCTTGGGTCCCAGATGAGAGTCCCTAGCCCCACTCCAGGACACCTGGGTCGTGGAAGCCAGGCAGTTGCACTCAGTCTGTAAGCAAAAGGCACCGGTTATATTTAGAAGGTGTCTGGAATTGTCTGACCATGGGGGTCGCTCCCTGCTTTGGTCCCTGGCAGGAGAGCAGGGGACAAGGCTGGAAAGAGCGTCTGTCCTCAGGGCCAGAGTGTCTGTCCTCAGGCCTCTCGCCTGGGGCGTGGTTGCTGCATTTAGCACATTGGACTGTTCTCTGTGCAGAGGCTCCGTTCTGCCTGCTCTATCCCCTGCCTTGCACCCTGGGTATTAAACTCCCCCATAGCTTGCCCCCTCCCCAAACACTGCCCCTGCCTTGCATCTGGGCTGCCCCCCCACCTTGCCTGACCTGTACAGAAACCCCTGGGAGGAGGCAGGATGGAACTTGCCTGCTAAGAAGAGAATCCAGACGAGCCGTGGTGCTGCCATCTTTTCACTACTTGCCAGGAATGTGTCCAGTGTGATTGACAGGGACAGGCAGCCAGGGCAGAGCCAGCAAGGTCGTAAGGCGGCTGGAACCAAGATCCTGAGCCTGCTGTGCTGCTAACTGCCTCAAAGGGGCGCCAAAACCATGGGGTGTGTGTCCAGGGTGTCCTAACCTGGGACAATTAACTCATGCTTATGACACCTGGTTCTCCAAGGGCTTCTACTACCTGAACCGGCACTACACGAAGGCCTTGCTGCTCCCATGAGGCAGGCCCTGGCACAGGGGCAGTCTAGGGTTGCCTAGGGATTGCCTTGCACAGAGATGCTGTCTGCATCTGGGGTGGGAGACAGCAGGCAGCAGAATGGAGCAGTGACAAGAGAAAATGGTTTAGAGCTGGAAGTGGAGGGGTATGCTCCTTCCAGCCAGCACTGGGATTTGCCTGGGATACCCATGTGAACATCCTTACTGCAGGAGCCTCCTGCAACAGAGATATGTAAATATATATATAACCCCAAGCCTGCCCTTTCTTTTCTTCCATCAAGGTTTCCTGCCATAGCACTTTGCTCCACTCTCTTCTCCTGCTGCCTTCAGCCCTGTCTGCTCCTGCAAGGCTCTGCATTTCACCCTCCTCCAAGCCCCTTCCCAGCACTAGAGATGGGCTAAGGCTGGAGTCACTCCAGATGTTGCCTGCTGTTCAGATTCAGCTGGGCTCCTTCAATACCTGCAAGTTCTGATGCCTCCAAGCCACTCATGTTGAACTAAGGCTTGGGACACCTGGGTTCTTTTCCCAGCTCTGCTACTAGCCTTTTCGGTGACCTTCAACTTCCCCTGCCTCAGTTTCCCCTATATATTTTTTTTTCTGGTAGCCAATTGAATTCCAAATCCAATTAAGCAAAACTCAATAACTGTGTCTGCAGAAATCCATGGGTCACATAGCTTCAAACAGGCCAGCATCTTAAGTCCCAGGCCTGAGGGTCTGGGCATTCAGATGCTTCCCCTATCCAGGCTGGAATCCTACGTACAAGTCCCAGACCCAGAGGTCTGGCAGTCTGGCTGCTCCCTGTCATGCTTGATCTTAGCCAAAAGACTGAGAAGCAGAGGATGATGCTGACAGCAGAGAAGCAACCCCAGCCAGCCTGGCTCTGCAGCCACTCCCCACTGGAATTTCCCCAGAGATCTGCCCCACAAACCTTGAACTCAGCCTGGGCCTGCTGAGCTTGGAAGAGCTAATGAGAGGGCAGCCTGCGGCAGACAGACCCCAGGGCAGAGGGCTACGTGCCTCCCAGGTGCTAGAAAAAAGCCTCCACAACAGGGTTGCCAGTCTTCTGCCACCTGTGTCCTCAGGGCAGCAACAAGGGGCAATTATTGGGCATGGTTTGGGCCCCTGTCTGCAAGCCCCATTGATGAAAGAACCTTCTCCTCTCTGTATCTTCCTCCCACTGGAGCCTTGCTCTCCCTACCAGGTAAAGCCTCACACCCACCAGCTCTCACCATCCAGGAGCGCTGGCTGGACATGAGAGCCAGGCACTGGTGGGGAGAAGGGCTGCCCAGCAGCCTACCAACAGTGCCAGGTGCCCCAGCTGCTGTGATATGAGGTTGTCTCCTGCCGGCGGCCGGCTTGTTCCACTAACCTCCCCATGAACTTACACAGAGCTTGGAAAGTCCTTGGGGGATTCAGCTGCTGCTCTGTCTCTTCCTTCCATCACGCTCCGGCTGGCTGGCTCAGCTGAGATGGGTGGCATCATCTATGTATGCAGGGAGGACACTGCCTCTGCTCTGGAGGAGCTCCGGTCCCCCACTTCCTATGGCCAAGGGGACTACCAGCCACTGCTGCCCCCATACCCTTGGCCCTTGCCCAGGGTTGAGAGGTGAGCTAATTCACACCTTGGCCTCTGTGGTGGGTGTCAGCCAAGAGGGCAGTGGTGGTTTGCAGTCTTACAAGTCTGAGCCCCACCAGAAACCACCACATGCAGACCACATGGAGGATGCCTTGACAGGCTGGGTTTCTAGCTGCCTGTAGGTGCTCAGCTCTTCTGAAAGGGAGAATCTAGGTCCCCATCACCCTGGAACAAGGTATCTAGACTGACTGTTACTGTCCCAAATGGGCAGGCAGAACAGGTTAGGTGGCAGAACCGTGGCTGCAGAAGGTCCTAGAGATGGGGCTGAGATGTCAGACTATGCTCCTGCTGACATTTCTGAGCTGGGGTGGCCACTTGCCATCTGCGAAATCTGCTGACTGTCTTCTTTGGTGTAGTGGGGAAGGGATGGAGGGAGGCTGCTGGGAGGTGCTGGGGCTGGATGCAGAGAAATTAGGGCCTTGTGCCTCTAGGATCCTGGTAAATACACAGGCCAGGAATACCCCAAAAAGGTTCTGTGTGACTCTGCTATCTGCCACTGGCTGGGGGTCTGGGACATTGGTACAGACCAGTAAAGGTGCTCCAGGCTGGGCTGCAACAGAGGGGCCCACTCCAGAAATAGATGGACCCTCATTAGAGGCTTGTGCATTCAGATGCAGAAGTGTCTTACATACTCCTGGCCAGCCTAGGCTGCTGCTGTCTGACAGATGAAGAACGAGAATAGTTTGGAGGAGTCCCAGTCTTGCTCTGGAGGATATGTACCCCAAATCTTCTTCTGGCTCATCTTAGCCAGGCCCTGAGTCACTCACCGATGTGGGTCCCTGAAGCAAATGACACATGCAACCAAAAAGAAGTGTTACTGCTATGCTGCTTCTTCCAGGGTGAGAGAAGTCAAGGCCTTTGAGCATGGAGAATGGATTCCCTTCTGCCTCATGCCTCCAGAGGACAGGGCCGGGGTGCCATGCATAGGGAGAGACTTACACTGATCCTGCTGAGGTGATGGCGTAAGCTGAAGCACAATAAGATGGGGACAGTGAAGGGATAAAGGCTTCACACTGGGGACTGTGTAACAGCACATGGCCTCTGGCACCCTGTAGGAATGCAATTCAGCTCCTCTCGATCTTAAAGCACTGCCTGTACCTGAGCATTATGAGAATTGCCCTGTCTGAGCAGTATAGAGCCTAGGACACACAGCACAGTGCTGCTTCCAGCCACTAGAGGGGAGTCACAGATCATTTCACTCTTTGGGGGTTACCGTTGGGTCTGCAAAGAGATGGGAACTGAAAAAGGCAGGGCAGGGCAAAATTGGCAGTTGTTTTTGGTGTGAAATAAATGGGCTACATTCATCAGAATTTTCACCAGAATACAATCAGTATTTTCCCATTCTTGCTCTATGTCCTCAGTCTCTCTCTCTCTCCCTCTCTTCCTCCCTTTCTTTTTCCCTCCACCCCAGTTCTTTATCTGTAAAATGGAGAGAAAAAGAGACCTTTTACTGATAGACTGCTGAGGCCTCTAGATAGGTACAGCAATCTGCATAGAACAGCTCCGAACTTTGCCTGGGGCACTTCTGGGATATAAAGAATCTCATATCTCATTTACAGCCCCACTTGTGCTGACCGTAAACCCAAACCACTGTAGAGTGGAAAAAAGCAGGTGAGAGAGAATTGTTAACAATGCCCTTTCCCTTTTCTCCTTTTGTCTGTAGCATTTTGACTGGATCAAAAATTGCAGAGAAGGAATTTGCAATACACACAAGCACGTGCATGTGTGTGTAAACATATATAATGTATGTGTGCGTGTGTATTTTTTTCCCCTTTCATGTCAAGAAGTCATGGAAATTGCAAGGTTTCCAGCATTATGAACTGCAAGTAACAGTGACCCTGCCAGACTCCATCCCTACCCTTCCCGCAACCCAGTGGCAAGAAGGAAGGGCTGGGCCCTCCAGCACTGTACTGCAGGGTCAAAGCCCAAAGCAATCAGCCATTTTAGCATGAGCAGGCTCAAGCCCTTGGTTGCCAGGAGGGTGAGAGAGCAAGGCTCCAGGGCGAGGGGGGTTGCACAGGGTTTGTAGCCCCATCTTGTAAGCAGGGAAGGAGAGAATGGGGCAGAGACCCCAACCAAGGAGGTAGAGAAGGGCTCCAGGACTGCAAGGACAATATTCTCCAGCCACAGCAGAACATGTGGCACGCAGGCCTGTTTCCAGTGCACAGCCAGCTTCCCCCAGCGGCCCTTCCTCCCTTTCAGCCAAGGCCTGTGTGTGTGAGTGACCATCTATATTTAGGTCAGTGTGCTTCCTCTGCTCTCTTAAGGTGGAAACGTAGCAACCTACGCAGCCGCCAAGCTGGCTATGGATGCCAGTCTGCCTTTACAGGAAGAGCAAGAGGAGGGGTGGGCTGGGGGAGCTCTTCCTTCCCCAGACTTGCCCCCTTTCCCCACCTACAGGCTGCAGTCAGTCTCACCTAGATCCCAGCCCTCCTGCCCCACAGCCCAGTAGTGCCTTGCTGCAAGTGCCAGCCCAGTGCAAAGCCATGTGAGTTGCAAGCCACCCCCTGGCTAAGGCAGGCTGGTGGGAGAGCCTGTTAACCCCTCTGCACAGATGAGGAGGGCAGCAAGCTGGCAAAGGCCTATGACTCTCATGTGCTCCTACTGCTGGGGAGGGTGATGTGCTGCTAAGGACTTTTTTGCTTTTGCTCAAACCTGTTATTAATGTGCTGCTGGATCTCCACACTGGCTGTGCTTGGCCCTCACTGATGTGGCTGTCAAGGGGAGGGGGAGAGCGGACAGAGCTGTCATTGTGGATTCTCCTGGGGGCTTGCAAGCCACGAGTTGCCCACTCCAGCCCTTCGCAGAAGGATGACTCCACCCAGGCCAGACTTGGTTGCATGACTGCGCCTTGCTCCCCCAGGAGCCAAGGGCTACGTTCCCATTAGCTGTATGTGTGTGCAGGTCTGACCCCCATCAGCTATTAACCCCCTGGGAGAGGGCGCACTTTACCTACCAGCCAGGTACCCCATGCATGGATCAAGGAGAGGAGGCACGGGGAGGGAGGGGGCATCTTTCTTGCCTTCATCCTGTGCCTGCTATGGGCAAATGGGGAATTTTTAAATTTTCCCTGTGGGCAGACTTAATGCACTGCAGAAGGCAAGGGGAGTGCCCAGGGAGAGGTGCTGTTGCAGACAGTGGGAGGAAATGTGCATGGAGCAGAGACGGCACATTGCACACTG